AAGTTTTCAGGGCAGGAAGAAGAAAGAAGGAGAGCGCGAGTAGTGTCAAGGATATGCCTATGTTTCCGTTCAGCGCGGCCATTTTGCTTGGACGTGCCAGCACAGGAACGATGAGGCAGTGTACCATGACTCTGATGAAAAGAAAGGAAATCTGAATCCCGATATTCCATAGCATTGTCGGAGCGAAAAAGTTTGATGGTTTTAGAAAATTGGGTGTGGATCATTTGGGCAAATCGATAATAAAGAGTTTTGAGGTCAGACCGAGTTTTCATGAGAAAAATCCAGGTAAACCGTGAAAAATCATCAATGAAAACAACAAAATAACGAGATCCCCCCATAGTAGTGGTAGGGGAAGGGCCCCAAATATCCGAATGTATAAGATCAAAAGGTGCACAGGAAACAGAAGTACTTTTATTGAATGATAAAGCAGGTTGTTTGGCAAGTTGACAGGGTATACAATCGAAAGTATCTGGAATTACATGACCCAATTGTCCACTAGAAACCAAAGACTTTAAGCGATTAATAGAAATATGCCCTAAGCGACAATGCCAAAGATAAAAAAGAGATAAATGAAAAGGAGATAATGAGGAAGCAGATGCAGGAGCAGCGATCTGAGGAGAGTCAGGAACATGAAGGTGAATGGGCTCATAGAGACGTCCGTGCTTACGGCCGATCCCAATAGTCTGCCTTGTCTGAGGGTCCTACACCAAACAATGAGTAGCAGAAAAGGTGACAGTTAGACCAAGTTCACATAATTGGCCAATAGAGATAAGGTTTAAAGTGAGAGCAGGGATATGATAAACTTGAGATAAAGTTAAAGAAGATGTGGAAACAGTACCAATATGACGGACAGTCATGAGAGAACCATCAGCAGTTTGAATTGAGGGAATATGAGGAGAGGAAGAGATAGAAGAAAATATAGTTGAACTGGAGGTCATATGATTACAACAAGCAGAGTCAAAATACCAAGAAGAGTTACCTGGAATTACAGACAAAGCAGTAGGAGGAGGTGTACCAGAAGGGGAGAGAAGGTGTTTGAACATGGCCTCGACATCACAGACAGAGCAGTTTGAGGAGGTGTACCAGAAGGGGAGAGAAGGTGTTTGAACATAGCCTCGACATCCGTTGGAGAAAAGAGAGGGGTAGACGGAGCAGGAGACTCAGAAAATCCCTCAGCGGCAGCAGCAGCAGTGGTAGTGTGAGGAGACTGATGCCCAGAATGAGACTGATTCCTGGAACGATGAAAGCTCCCCCGAGGAGAACCACCGCGAGAAGGGTGGCTGTTGGAGGATGAGCGGGATGGATTGCGAAAACAATCCTGTTGCAGATGACCAGGACTAAGTTTGTTGCAGTAGCGGCAGGTTCGGACCGGGCAATTGACCAGGAGATGTGTTGAAGGAAGGCCCCGATTCTGACAATAGAGACAGGCAGTGGTCCGTTGGGTGAATGATGGCCGGTGCGAGGGAGTGGCAAGAACAGAGTCCACATGATAAGTTTGGAGAGTACCAAAACGAGTCTCTTCTGATAGCAACTTAGAAATAGCTTGTTCCAGAGTGGGCAAGGGATGGCGATGAAGAAGAGAGGCACGTACGGGCTCAAAAGATGAAGTGAGAGCCATGAGAAAGTGCACCAACCTTTGTTGATTACGATAAGCAGTGAATAAAACAGCATCTTCTCGGTGAGGCCAAGTTGGTTCGGAAAGAGCAAGCTGATCCCAAATGGAGTGCATTTGAGAAAGGAAGTCATTGATGGACTGACTAGATTCTTGGCGCATCTGATGAAGTTGGTTCTGAAGTTGATATTGATGAGCAAGACCAGTAGTCTGGTATCGGTCTTTCAAGAAATCCCAGATGTCTTTGGCAGGAGTAGTGACAGAGTCAAGCTGAAAACGACCAAACTGAAGACTGATAGAGGTAACAGAAGTATTGCGAAACCAGGTAATGATTTGGTAATTCTTACTGTCCCAGTCCTCAAGGCGATCTTCATATGTAGGAGTAGCAGGAGAAATAGTGGTTTCAGCAGTGTCTTTTACCGGTTGGGTCATGTCCCCGGTGATAATTCGCCAGAGCTTCTTTCCTTTGAGGAAGGAACACATGGCTTGGGCCCATAGAACATAGTTGGAACCATTCAGAATAACGGAAATGGGATGTGAGGCATCATGACGATCCATAATAACAGTTGAGTAGGGCTAAATTGATGGTGATAGACCTGTAGGAGCAAAATTAGGTAAAACAGAGTGTACCAGTGAGTCCGGAAGGTCGAAAATAGCTAGGAAAGGTGGGCTGTGTAGAGATGATGTCAGCAGGATGAAAAATGATGTCAGCGGCGCACGTTAGCAGAGAGGGCGTGCGGCGTAGATTAGCAGAATGGCGCACGCGGGTGCACAATAGCGGAACGGCGCACGCGCGGCTCACGGTAGACGAACGACGCACGCAGGTGCACGATAGCAAGCCCGGCGCACGAGAGGGCAGGGTGGAAGGCGCGTGAGGGCGCGTGTGAGTGTGGCGACGGAGGCAGAGACGCGCCGAGCAAAAAAGCGGCGCGTGAGAGTGCGTGACGGCGTTTCTGGTGATGGGCTTGGTGCCGTTGGAATCGTAAGGAGATTCCGAGCTGTTTGGTGTAGTTCCACTGTGTACGGGACTCAGCACCAAAATTGAAGGATGCCAGAGTTGTATTTCTGGGCTCTGATACCATGAAACGAGAGAGACTGAAATGAAAACGAGAGAGACTGAAATGAAGGATTTTGTATATTCAATATATGTTGTTGTGTATCTGTATTTACAAGAGAATTAGGTCTCTCTCTTTATAGAGAGCAGAAGGATACAATGGAGTACGAAGGCATAAGGTAATATATTACAATAATATCAAAGTGGAATCTAAAGCTGAAAGTGGTAGTGGGTGTTGGCCTCCTTTGCAGAGTGGTAGTGGGTGATGGCCTCCTTTACAGCTTTGCTGGTTAATGGGTGTTGGCTTTACAGCTCCTAATGCACTGTGATGTACATTTACAGCTACTAAGGCATTATATGAAAGTATATTATATGTTAACACCATCAAGATCAAACAAGACCCATCTCCAAATTCACCCCCAAATCCCCAAACCAATCCAAAGCCACCTCCAAAATCATCACCAGATGTGCAGAGATCAGCTCAATTGGCTAAGTTTGTATTGGTTTTGGCCATACTGATTCTCACATACTATTATGGTGAATACTCGTACTCATTTTTCGTTTTGGGTCTCCACTGGTGCCACTTGTACCTGGACGTACTAGCCATCAGTGCAATCCTCGCTCGAGTGATTCAAGGTCTCGAGCTTGAGCCACAGTTCAATGAGCCCTATCTGTCCACCTCACTGCAAGATTTTTGGGGTCGTAGGTCGTACCTCATGATTACGAGTATTCTACAGCCCACGGTGTACATTCCCATACGGTGTATTTCTACGCGTATGTTGGGCCGTAAGTGGGCCCCATTGCCAACGATTGTATCTACATTTTTTGTGTCAGGTCTGATGCACGAGATGATGTTTTTTTATCTTACACGTTCCAGTCCCACATGGGAGATTACGTGGTTTTTTGTTTTTCACGGGGTGTGCACGGCAGCGGAGGTGGCGGCGAAGAAGGCGGTGGGTGGTGAATGGCAGTTGCACAAGGTGGTTTCCAGGCTGTTGACAGTGGGTTTTTTGGCAGTGGCCAGTGCTTGGTGTACGCCAAATTGCACAACCCAATATGTCATTTTCGTACCACCATCCATACTAGTACGATTTCACTTGGTAGTAGCATAAATTTGTAATGTAAAGTTGTTATTTTATAGAAAATTATGAAAAATGTTTGAGGGTTACAAAAAGTGTGGCTCAAAACCATTGCTCGAAAGTTATATAGAAAAAAATCTAGCTTAAGAATAGGTGTATTTTGTTTTAAAGTGAAATACTCTATTCATGTTAGTTTAGGGATTGTTTTGAATGTTTTAAATAAGTGTATTTTTTGTCTTTTTGAATTAAAAAGTTGAGGAAAAAAATATGGATGTTTGGATTAACTTTTTAACTTTTTATGAAAAAATGTGTATTAAAAAATTGTATAAAGAAGTATGTAGGAGAAGATAGCGCAGTACGCCGTACGGATTGGCAGTGCAGGCGGCTTGGTGGATACATGGAAAAATATTGCCTCATTTTCAGGTTCACATGTCCCGTTTTTCTAATCGGAACCGTTCAATGTGTAGAACTCATCGAGTACTATATCTGCTTGTAAAAAATCACATTGATTGGATATCGATACCTATCTGATCGTATTAGTTTTTTTTGTCAACTGTTAACTATAACACCATCCAATTTTTATACAAAACTGATTTGATCATGTAGTTAGCGATATCCGATATACGTGATTTTTCACAGGCATATAGTACTAGACGAGTTTTACATCTTGAATGATTCGGATTATCAAAATGGGACTCATGGTCGGCCCCCACGGGCCCAACTTTATCATCTAATTTAGTGAATGTAGGGGTGCAACTTGGGCGAGTTCAACCCGAGTAACCTGAGCCTAGCCTGAATTTTTTTAAGGCTTGGACAAAATATTTTCAAATTCGGTACGGGCTTGGACAAAAATTCAAAAGTCCGAATTAAATTTGGGTAGGCTTAGGCAAAGACATTAAACAACCCAAGCAACCCGAAACTCGAATTATACATATATAGATATATAAAAATATTAAATATACATATAAATTATTAGCCATTACATGATATTAAAATAATTTATATTATTAAATCATATTGAATATATATTATATATACAAATAATATAGAATCTTACTTTTTTCTTTTTATTTTCACTCATAAATTGTAAGGACTACTATAATGACATCTTTTTTACATTATATAAATTATTTGTTTTGATGGTGTTAATGATTTTCTATATATATATAAAAAAAAATTGTAAATAGAGTCAAATTTTAATAATTTAATAATGTAACTACAAAAAATAATAATAATAAAATTCATTTACAATTCGGGCAACTCGGGTTTAACTCGGGTCGGGCTTGTACAGGTCTCAGCACAACTTGGGCTGGGTTTGGACAACCTCTCAACCCGACCGAACCTGTCGGGGTTGCACCCCTAAGTTTTACCATCCAACTTAGTGAATGTACACATGCAAATTTTTTTTTTTTTCCTTTCACTGAAGCTGGCCTGACGTCAGTACATTAATGGGCCAAAAAATTGATTCGTATTTAATATTTATATATTATTTTTTTAAAATTTTTTTTGATAAATAGTGATAACTTTTTAATTTTTTTAGTAATTTTTTGACTTTTTTTACATTTGCCAAACCAGCCCTTATAAGGTAATTCTATAATGTGTCTGATTTTTTATTATGATTTATTATGATTATTATTTTAATTATGATTGAAAAAGTTTTAATTATATCTTATATAGTGATTAATTATGACTCACGAGAAGCATTACGGTACATATCCCTCAAAATGTGTGTATTATATATATTTTATAACTAAAGAAAAAAAATAGTCAATGTTTGTTTTCAGTTTTTTGAAAATATTTTTCAGAAAATTTTATTTTTTATTTTCTCTATTTTTTTGTTTTTATTGAATTTTTTTAATATTTTAAGTAATTTTTTTTTTAATTTTTAAACACACCTCACGTAAATACACTTAAAAAGTACAGTTTTTGTGAAAAAAACTCTTTAACAAATTTACTAAATATCAAAAATACAAAAAAAAAATTAAAATTTAGTATATTTATTAATTTTTTAAAATATTTTTTCACAAATATTTTATTTTTTAGATACATCTAAGTAAGTTGTGTCTAAAAAAGTAAAAACAAAATGTTTAAAATTTAAAAAAATATTCACTAAAAATAAAAAAAATACGAAAAATAAAAAACTGAATTTTCAAAAAACTAAAACTAAACACACTAATATAATTTTATATTCTTTGAGTCATAACTAAAAAAATAAAAAATAAAAATATCATAATCAAATACAATAGGAGATATAATTAAAGAATTTATAATAACTAAAGAAGAAAATTAGTTATAACATTAAAAAAAAATAACATAAATAAAATGCATACAATGTACCCTTTTGAATAGTATGTATGTTGGTTTTTCGTGACTAATTATTATTATTTTAATTATGATATTTACATACAGTATACATCATTTTTGAAGGAGTATAGAATGGCCATATGTCTTTTATTTCACTTTTTGTTTCACCCTGTGAAGCGTACTATTTTACAATAAAGTTTTGGATTTGTGTTTAATCGATACTATGGAAGGCTGGGTTTGGCAACAAATCAGAAAAGCAATTTATTAATTTATTTAAATCATATCATTTTAATATTTTTTTTACAAAAAATTAAAAAATAAGTTATAGTCTAACTATTTCTAATATTGATCATGTTACATAAGAAGTCACATAAGAACATCTCCAATCTTTTATTATTATTTTTTATTTAATCTGATCTCAAATCTGATTTGATATGAATTACTCTAATTATTTCGTCAAAATTTTAACCATATTTTTAAAAATATGTGTTGTATTTGAAATTTTTTCATCAAATTTGATTTCTTTTAAAAAAAAACATCTTTATTGTTTTATTTTAAAAAATTTTCATCAAATTTTAAATTTGATGAATTATCAATCTGATAAAAAAAAAAATAACCCTCCTTAATTTGATCAACATTTTTTTTTATTTTTGCAGAAAAAAGAACTTCATTCCATAATATTGCATAAAGGATATTATATGAAAAGCATTAACAAAATCTGCTAAACATTAATCAATACAAAAAAGCCAATAATAAAAATTCGTAGCAAACACCGAGCAGCACAAAAGATTAAAAGGATATGGAGACGAAAAAACTACTCAAACCTACAAAACCATCACCTGCAAAAATTAGAACTGAGAAATGAATTTGATCAGCATTTGACAAAAAGATTAGAGATGATGCACTTATGTCAAAATTACAAAACTTGCAATTTTTTTCAAAACCCAAGAAAGGTTAATATTATTTATCTAATAATTTAATTAAGATTTAAATAGAAAAAAAATCAATCCTAATGGAGGAGCTACGCAATTAACAAAAATGTTTTGACTTTGAAGATTTAATGTGATAATTTTCCAAGAAAAATCCATCTTCCTCGCATTATCCTAATGGTGTGTTTGGTTAGAGGATTTGGGGAGGGATTTGGAAAGGAAAAGGGAAATAGTGTGTGAAACTATGTGAAATTTAAGTATGTTTTATTTATATTTCACCTAGCTTTTTCATTTCCTTTTCCAAATCCCTCCTCAAACCCCTCAACCAAACACAACATTACTATATTGCTCCACCGATTTGCGGACAGCATTGATTATTGCGATTGGCGATCGAACACACACCTTACACATCACGTGTGATCTCTTAGCTGTTCAGCTCCCTTCACAGTTAACATCTCCCATTTAAGACTTTATTTATATTTTATGTATTCTGAAAAGAAAATGAAATCACAGAGCCAAAGACCATAAACAGAGACTAGAAACAGGGAAAAAAAAGAAGAAGAAGAAGATGAAGATGATGATGGATGGTGAGATTAAGAGCTTCATTAAGGTATGGATTGCATCAATTGCATCCATTTGTTATTGTTATTTCATAGCCAAACACATCCCAAGAGGCATTACTAGGCTTCTCTTCCTCATACCCATCTTGTCCCTCTTCATCCTCCTCCCCTTCAACCTCCATTCCCTCCATCTTGGTGGCCCCACAACCTTCTACCTTGTTTGGCTTGCCAATTTCAAGCTCCTCCTCTTCTCCTTTGATATGGGTCCCTTACCAGATTCAAAGTCCCTCCTCAATTTCATCTCCAATGCACTCCTACCCATCCAGATCAAACATGACCCATTTCCAAAATCACCTCCAAATCCCAAAACCAATCCAAACCCACCTCCACATCTATCTTCAAATAGGGCTAGAAAGGTCCAAAGATCAGCTTTATTGGCTATAAAGGTGTTGCTTTTGGCTATGGTGATTCGATTGTACGATTACAGGCAACATTTGCATCCAAATGTAATCTTGGTTCTCTACTGCTGCCACGTGTATCTGGCTGCCGAGCTTATACTAGCCATGAGTGCATTCCTGGCTCGAGCCATTCTGGGACTTGAGCTCGAACCACAGTTCAACGAGCCCTACTTAGCCACCTCACTGCAAGACTTTTGGGGTCGTAGGTGGAACCTCATGGTTACCAGTATTCTACGACCTACGGTGTACGTTCCTATACGGAGTATTTCTACGCGTATCTTGGGCCGTAGGTGGGCCACGTTGCCGGCAATTTGGGCCACGTTTTTGGTGTCGGGTCTCATGCACGAGATAATATATTTTTATTTTACACGTGTCAGTCCCACGTGGGAGGTGACGTGGTTCTTTGTGCTCCATGGGGTGTGCACAGCGGCAGAGGTGACGGCAAAGAAGGCGGTGGGAGGGAGGTGGCGGTTGCACAGGGTGATTTCGGGGCCGTTGACGGTGGGGTTTGTGATGCTGACTGCATTTTGGCTGTTCTTCCCACAGATTATAAGGAATGGCGTTGACCAAAGAGCCATAGGAGAATACTCAATTTTGGTTGATTTTTTTAGGACTAGGGTCCAGGATTTTAAGGTCATTCTATTTTGAAATGAAGGTCATGCTTTAATACAACTAATTTATCATGTGCATTTAATTTATAATTTTTGTGTATTTATTTTTTATTTTTAGTATCACATTAATCCTGCTTAGTATTAAGAGTTTAAAAAAATACTGCCACCCCTACCGTCACTATCCCTCAAAAACCACCACTACCATCATCAAACCCACCCTCACCACCCCATCCCACCACAACACCGCTAGCACCACCACATTAATGCCAAACAATTTTCAGAGATTTTAAAATAAAATCAAAAAAATAGAACCATCAGATTTCCCATTTCAGTATTTAATTTAATATTTAATTTTTTTTACTTAAATAAACACACCTAAATATGCGACTGAAAGTCGTACATTCAAAAGGTAGTCCTAATTATATAGCCCAGCCTAAAAAATCAGCCAACTTCTAAACATCCCATGGAAGAATTTTGATTGATAAAGCAAAAAACAGTAAAAGAAAAATGTCAAACTACCTACTCATTCAGCCAGCCAGACGTGTTATGTTGCGAGGACGGGCGATATGGACCAGGAACAAAACCCAGTCCCAGTGTGTCGACTCGATATCCACGTTGTTGAGCAAGGGGATCAGCGATGCCATTTCTTGGTGGCTCACCCGCCAAGGTGTTCATCCTTGTATGGTTCATCTCATCAAGACGTGGAGCATATCGCTCCATTGTAGATGTGGTGCTCATCCTATTGTAAGATGGGTCTGCGCTGAACCCAGATAGCTGTAAGAAGAAAACCCAGGATCCTGACCTGCCAAAAAGCCGCTTCTTTGACCAAACGTATTGGGACCTTGTTGCCCATAGAGTCCAGCCTGTGATCTCATTGCTGACTCTCTTGCATAGGTATCTTCTATCCCACTGACATAAGGTCTATAAACACGGCTCTCTGTGCTCTCCCTCTGGTAGCCTCCAAACTGTCCCTCTGGGTTTCGGACCCCATAATCAGGTCCAGGACCTGAATAAGGCCCCTCACTGTTCAATCCATATCGTCTTGCAATGTCGTCAGCAGGAGACCCCTCATATCCTGTTCGATAGTGTGATCGTGACCCATCTACACTCTGATCAAAATGTCGATCACCTTCCTTGAGAACCTCTAGAGGTCTGGATGAATTGGGTGGGGAACATCGGGGTACTCTGTCATACATCTTGCTTGCAGGAGAACTTCGTCCTCTCTCTTTGGTTTTCTGTGGTGTCTGGCCAAATCCTTTCCCGTTCTTTTTACCACCATGCTTCTTCTTCTTCTTCTTTGAATCCCGATTGAATCGATTTTGCCCATGGTTACGATTCTCGTGGACTTCTCTGCCACCATTACCACGAGGGAGGTCTTCTTTATGACTTTCAGACACACTTGCTCGTCTTTCTTGGATCTGTTCATGTACTTCTCTACCACCATTACCACGAGGGAGGCCTTCTTTATGACTTTCAGACACACTTGCTTGTCTTTCTTGGAGCTGTTCATGCACTTCATTTTGAACAGGATGATCATCCAATGCCACCGAAGTTTGGCCATTAGGTTCATGATCCTTCATTGGATGATCAGGGACCAGTGGTTTGTCATGAACTTCTAAATGGGACTGTTTTTGTTCCCTGGCCAAGTGTCCCTGCCGTTGAGCAATTGCCTTGTGTTTAGCGGTCCAATCGGGGTGACTCCAAAGGTAGAGCGGTGGTGTACTCACATTCCAATCCTCTAATTGGTTGTCATTTATGTCAACAGAACCAGGTAAATAAAATGACTGAAAAGGGACAAAAAACACAGTATAAACCACCAAAGCACACTTTCATTGCAAAAGAAAAAAACTTATAATCAACCACTAGGGAACTGCACAAAACATCTTATTTTACCTTGCCAGCAAGCAACTCATTATTCTCCCAGATCAGATCATAACCCTTTTTATCCAACCTGGTGAAGGGAAAAGGGGGAAGAAAGAAGAAATGAGAGAGAGAGAGAGAGATGTACAGTATCAAGTATGCAAGCTAGTTACCTCTCTGTCTCTTTAGGAACAATTAGGATAAGGAGCTTTGGCTTAAACTCGAGAGCCTTATCAATGAACTTATTTGCAAGGGCAGCATTTACTCCAAAAGGGGGATTTAGCCCCATGATCTACTCAAAGAAACAATAACAAAAGCTCTGTCAAGTGAGAGTTCACAACCCTAGGGGACTAAAAGCTTCTTGCATATTAAACAAAAATAAACATTATTCTCACCAATTGTGACCCTGGTGGCAATTCTTTCAGTTTGACACTCATCCAATCCCTCTCCTCAAAGTTAAAGTCATTCTGTCAAAACAGGACCAACCAGAACCAAAATGACAATGGGAGACAGAGATGATTGAAAGCCTATTTTAAAAAATATAACGAGGTTTGCATCACTAATCATATACACTCAATGTCTATTTACACTGCAGCAATCCAGCCTACACACATGAAAACAATGACTATTGAAAGCCAATTAACTCATCACAAAGATTTTCCAACGGTAAAACAGGGCCACAAGTAGAAGAATATTTGAGACTTGAGACCTCTCAACAATAACTTTACCAAGCAATCCTACTTCTAAAATAATTTGTTCATAACCTACAGTTCTAATATTCCAACAAATATTTTATGTATCAACGGATCAACAGCAAGGTATCGACACCATGAACCCATCAAAACCATATGAAATTAAATTTAAGAGAACATAAAGTTCAAGACACTAAAGGGATTACAAACAATTAGGGTACTGAATTTTGAAAAGCTCAAAGAAAGATGAACCTAGAAAGGCCAAAACATGTTTTGTATAGTTCGTAATAAAATGGCAAAATGCAGATTAGTCATATAAATTGTTGGAAGACTCCAAAGATGGCAGATGAATAAAAAAATTCAAAATGAAATAACCAAATGCCCTGGTAGATAAAGATATCCAAACTGGTACGTCAAAGCTACACCAAGAATGACATCAATTACATATGCTTCGAGAAACAGTGGTTGAACAAAGAAAAAGGCATCAAAACGCATGCCAATTTGGCATGAAGCAAGGAGGATTTACAAGGTGGTCATTAACTCAAGTCGTCATGGATTGGAATTACAACTCATGATACCCATTAACGATCAAATAGTTGATAATAAAGGGACAAGAGTTTTTTTTATATTCAGTTACACATCAACTATATAATTGCCCATCTTAAATTAATAGAACCAATTCATCCACAAAGAACAATATTGCAATAAACAAGTGAGTTTCCATGCATCTCAAGATTACTGGAACATGCCATTCAACATATAAACTCAAACCACCAAACCAAAATGCCTCATCGATTTCTTCCTTTTTTTTTTCAAATGTCAGTAGGAAACTGTTCCCAGCCAAATTTGTGCATTTGACACTTGTTGACATGTGTTGTTGATTCATATCCCCCACTAGGATCCTTAAAAAGAGAACCCACTTAGCCTTGGAGACCAAGATATTATCCATGATTAAAATTTAAGAAACCTTTACCCTAGGGTTCTTTAAGAAACAAAAGAACTAGTGTTTAGTATATCATACATTCACAAACAAGAATGCATTGGTACAAACTTCTGCAGTTAGAATAAATACCGAAGGAAAAAACAAAGGGGGCAGAAAATTATAAAAGAAATATAAACAGAGAGAATTTCATTTACATGACTGGTACCCAGGGAGCTGAAAAAATGTGATTATGGAAGTGTAGTTCACCTTTGGTTGTAAAATATCATAGTTTTTGTATGAGCACTTCTTCTTTCCTGTCTCATCAAGCTTCTTCTTCATGAGACAACTGAAATCATTAGCTCCGCAACAGAAGTCAACTATCTGTTTAGGGGAGCAATAACCAATTAGGTACACCAATTCGAAAGTTAAAATGAAACTGAGAGCAACTAGCAAATCACATTTTTCACGCAAGCATCATGTGTAATTTGAATGGCATATTTTAAAGAGATTGTACATACTGCAGCGTCTCTTCTGAATTTAATCCCACCATCACAGTACTTCTTGATAGTTTTCATTGGGATCAGGAGCAGTAAAAGACATTTAGTTACAAATAAATGAGCACCGATCCATTAGATACATCAATGAACAAGTATGACAAAAAAGACTGAAACTCATGAAGATCCAACTTACTCGATTCACCAACCTAATCCATCCCATTTGCTGTTTGTTAGTTATAAATCTTTTTATGTCAACTACATCCATTTGGGTTCCAGCCAGGATCTGCCCCATACAGAACAACCCAACATAAAACCAGAACAAAATTTTCAGACATAGCCCCAACAGATCTAAGTGCACTTATATTTACTTGACATCAACGTTAAAATTGACCCAAAGCCTTACTACATTTTGTTTGTAGTGTTAAAACAAAGAGAAAAACCCTTTGAAGAGCAGCAACATCCTAATCGTATTGGTCATGTTCATTTGGATGAGTCGACCTACCTCATTCTTGTTTTTATCTAATGTCGTGATTTATCAACAAAAAAAAAGAGAGAGAGAGAAACCCATTTTGCTCCCTATGGTTTGGCACTTTTGCACTTCACCTCCCTGACATTTAAAAATAACCAAAATTGGCCCACATGGTTTTTGCCCTATTGCACTTCACCTTGCTACCATTACCAATTCAACCCAAAAAAAAGTGAGCCATAGGCACCTATTTTGTGAGTTGACATGAAAAAAAATTCAAGTCAAATCAAATCAGGTGTCTTCATCTTCTTCGCACTAACTAATCTGAAAACCATAACCCTAACCCTCATCTTCATTCACTTTCCTCCCCCGCCAAAGCTGCCACCTTTCCCCTCTCCACGGCCACCCCCGCCACCCCATTCACCACCCTCTATACACACACACACACACATAACATTATATATTATATTATAGATAAAATTTTGGTTACTATGTGGTTAAAATTGGGTTTATTAGGGTTAATATGTGATTAACAGAAAAGATAAAAAGAAAATAGGAGAAAGAAAAAAGAAAGAGAGAGAGAGTATTAAAATCATTTCCCATATGCCATTGATGAAGTTAGCATTGCACTTTAGTCCTAAACTACCTTGAGGATGAAATGGCTATTTTTAGATGTCAAGGGGGTGAAGTGCTCCCCAAACCACAAGAAGGTAAAATGGATACTTCCATAAAACAAATGTGACAACATCACTACAAGAGATTCAAAAATATTAGTTTCAACGGACAAATGCAAAAAGCCAACCAACAAAACAAAATTTCAAATAATATATCACCTTAAGAAGCACGGACAAGTGACACAAAACTAACACGCCGACCCGTTAATTTTCAAACAATATAGGGCACAACATGTGAGAGACACACTCAAAATATATACTCTTATATATTTATTATATGCCATATGTATGTAAGGATAAGCAATTATTATGTGTCATACAACGTATTGAGAAGTGTATGGCGAGTGTTTTGTCGTGTCGGTGTCTCACATGACACACCAGGTTCTTCGAAGTGTTGTGCTTCTTAGATATCGCTTTTTAGAAAGAAAAAGGAAAAGAAAAGAATGATAAAGAAAGTTGTACCCAGCGCACAAGGCTTCCACTTAGAGCAGGGTTTGGGAGAGGTAATAGGTAAACAACTTTCCCCCATTTTTTTGTGGAGAGTCTAATTCACATGACTTGAACTCGTGCAACTAGTGTTACCAAAAAAAATGCTGACACCCTAGTGATTTACGTTTTGAAACGTTCCAAAACATAGTACACTTCCATTCCAAAACGATGACTTTAGCAATCCAAAGCTATCTCAAAAATTCTCTTTAGTTTCTTAAGTTTACCTTGGGATGAAAATAAATCTAGTATAAATGAACTAACATGCAAGGACAATGGAGTTTTGGTAAAATGATATATAAAAAATGAGCCATAATACTCCTAGAAATGTGTTCAAGGAAAATTGCAGGCACCATTCTAACAGTGTGATTTATACAAGCCCACCCTAATACTGTGATTTATACAAGCCTACCCCTATCGTAACATTTTAAAGCATGTTTCCGTTCCTCGTACCAAAACGATCCGTGTTCTAGGTAACATAGTGTGCAACAGTGCAGCAGGCAGATAGCACTTGCTATCATTCCAGGTCAGGGCCTCTTTCTTTTCTTTTTTTATTTAAAAATTTTGATATTTCCCAATAAAACAAAATCCATA